AAAAATAAATTTTAATTTTATCAATTGTTTAATTAAATATTTCATGTGATATTAATATTAAAAATAAAATTTATTTTTATAATTTTTTATATAAATTAATAATAAAAAAATATAATAAATACTTTTTATCCTAAGTCTTAGAAACACCCATTTTTCAATCATACTGAAAAACATTCTCTTAAAATAATATTTTTCTAAATTTTTTATCCACCGATCAAATTTCCTCAACGGCTTTCTTTTTATAGTGGATAAATTTCCTCAAGAACTTTACCACCTCAAGAACTTTACCATGATGAAAAATTGCTTAGCAGATGCACACCAAGTCACCATTCGACCTCATTTTTTATTTTAGTATTTTCTTTATTTAGCTTTAGTTGAATTAATTTTTAACTTGGGTGTTTATAGTTAGTTGACCAATTTTTACTTTAAAATTGCTATTAAATCTGTTAACTTTAACTTTTCTCTTGTTTTAAGAAAATAATTATATTATATTTTATATTGACACTTATTTAAGTAGTGGCTAATTGAGAATAAATATAAAATTTTATTAATTAATTATTACATTCTTATTTTGTTAGAAAAAAAAATAACCCAACTATAGTTAAACAAGTATTTTATTTTAATTTTTTTGATAAAGCCATTGTTAAAAGGAAAGATCATTAATATAATAGTTACATGTTGTATAACATAATAATTATAGGTTGACATAACACTAAAAGTGATATATTTTTTACATATTAATAGAAATTAAGTACTTGGTGTTTAAAATGTTTAAAATTTGATTTTGATGCAAGTTAAAATTTTTAAGTCAGTATACATTAGCTTAACCAAACAATAGAAATATAGATAATTATATATCAATTTTTGTAGTTATAAATAAAAAATTTTATCTTATTAATATATACACAAAAATACAAAGATGCGACATACTATAAAATTAAAGTTATTAAATTATTTTTAAAAAAAAAGTTAAAACCATTAAAATTGAGAACCTCACACATGTGATAATTAGTATGAATTTTTTATTGTACAAAACTTTTCGAAAGTTAGTATGAATTCCTTACATTACTTGTTATAAATACACATTTTTTTCAATTAATCCCTTACATAATTGTTTTACTATTTATTTAAAATTAATTACATAACATTACAAGTGTTTAAATCCAAACTTTTAATCTAATGAATGTTAATTCAACTAAACTCGTATGAGTTAACAATGTCTACATTATTTTTTTTTTTTTCTCTTTTTGGTTCTCTTTTCGAAAAAAGTCGAAAAATTTTTCTTCTCAAAATGCTACTCAAAAACAAGAGCAAACAAGTTTCTTCTCAAGTAACAGTTTTAGCCAATCCTTTAGAGGCCAGCCTGCGACGGTGCAACAGGGTCGCCTCATCGCTCGTCGCGCATTACATAACGAAGTTGTTGAGATGAAATACCAATTTTTTTTATTAATTTCCTCTTTTTTTAGGGTGTTTACTGTTCATTTGTCTCTTTTGTTCGTCCTTTTTCTGTTCTCTTTATTTCCAAAACAAGGAGAGAAGATGCGTTCAAAAAGCTTTTAAATGGGATGAAACATTTTTGTCTTTTTGTGTGGAAAGACAAAAGATGATACAAAGAAAATGAGGGTTTTTATGGTTTGAGGATGAGGAGATTGCTATATCAAGAAAATCAATAGATCCTCTGCGTTTCTACCCATCTTTCTGGGGTTTCTGAACTTCTCCTTTCTTTGATTCCTTCTTTGTTCCCAAGAATTATCTAGAGTTGTTGCTGCTTGGTTTCCTAGAAAATTTTCGTTTTTTCCCGTGATTTTCTTTATGTTTTTCCTCCTTCGTTTGCACCTGGAAAGATGAAACCTTTCTATGGGATTATGTGCTGCTATTATTGATGTCTTCAAAATTTGTTTTCTTTGTACAAAGGCTGAAACTCGTTTTTTTCCCTTGAAAATTTAGGCTATTTTCTTTCTTGGTTTTCTTGTTTTTCTGAGCTTTTAAAACCTTCCTCTGCGTTGTCATTATTAATCTCTTCAAAATTTTTGTAATTTTTCTTCGCAAAGGTTGAAACTTTAGTATTAGCTACACACTGCGTAGCTACTTAATATATATATCTGCGGACTTTGCTAAATTTAGGTGAGTATTTGTGTCACTTTTTCAAAGGAATAAAACAAAATCTGATTCCCGTGTAAAGTTACTGATTGACGTGACTCTGATTATGAAGTAGAAGATGGTGAGAGTAAAAATTGTGATGCAAAGGATCGAGAATGGAGCAAGCAGACTAATGACCTTCTCGAAGCGTCGAAATGGGCTGGCTTAAGAAGGCTTTTGAGCTATCTGTTCTCTGTGATGTTGAAGTTGCAGTTATCATCTTCTCACAAAATGGAAAACTTTATGAGTTCTCAAGGTTCGAGTATGTTCTTTTTAATTATACTAACCAAGTTGTTCAATTGGTTATTTCTTTTTACTATATATGTTGATCTTTTAACAGTTTTTGCAAGTTTGTTTTTTTGTTCCTCTTTCATAAATTGCTCATTATGTGGATCTGTACTTCCTCAGTGCCATTAGGAAATCTTACTATTTGCTTTGATTTTTTCTTCCGATTTGTCTTTGAGTTCATTTCTTTTGATGAAATATCAAGAATTACTCTCATGATACGCTTTGCTGCTGGAACAAATCCATTTGGGTGCATTTTGCCTTTCTCAAACATGTCTATTAAGGTTTGCAAAAGCTTCATTGCTAGAACCTAGAAACTGTAATTCTAGTTTTTTGCCTGCTACAATTTCTTTTTCATTAGATGAATCAAAATTCTATTAATTTGGTGTACAAGGAATACTCCTACCCATATATACACCATTTCATAAATTTAATTGGTGCCAAAATCCACATTGCCAAGATAAAGGAGTACAAAAGACGTTGGTTGATTCATACATATATAGTAATACAAAACACCACAACATTTATAAAGATGCACACTGCTGCATCATCCAAGGCTCCTTCTATTTTCAAGTTTATTGAGCACATAAGTAACGCACAGTGTTCCATTGATGGTAGGAAAACATACTACTTTCTGACTTACGCAGCAGCAGAGGTTCTCCTTCTAATCATCTCAAATAGCATATATATCTCCATCCCAAGGGTTCGAGTTGTGAACCATACGATTCCTCATAAACCAAAATGACCATGCCACCCCCAGAAATGTAAAGTACCAAACCTTAGCCTTCACAAATATCTTAATTCCTTTTCCTGATTGGTGCCATAACCCATGGGATTGTGCTATAGCAGTGAATGAATACAGGGAAGCTGTGAAGAGCGCAAGACAAGTACAGGATCAAGTAACATGATTTAGCTTGAATTTATGTGTTTTGTGATTTATTTGTTTTGCATGTTGAAGAGAATTTTGAGGCATGTTCATGATGCGTTGGAGAACCCCTTATACTCTATTTAA